CTAGTTGTGGTCTCCTAGTTCCTGGTTCTCCAGAAGTTTTCATTCACAGCAGAATGAGGCAGGGGCCCTTGAAAGATGGTTAGAGGCAGGTGAATCAAGCCCCCTCAGCTGCCTTTGGCTCACGCCTGCTGTGGTCCTACCATGTATGTCCAAGCCGCTGAGGGTTCTTCATAGTCTTATTAATGCTGCAAACACAGTGTTGTCTTTTGGGGGAAGTAGCTTCTGGAGTCTGCTGGTGTTTTCTGTGTGGTTTATGCTAATTAGGATGGAAGTTCACACACCCTTCACCCCCACCCCAACGTCAGTTCTGATAGGTGCTTTCAGTTGTAGATCTTGACTTTTGGAAGGACTGCAGACACTGCCATCCACCTATGTGAGAGCTGGTTCCCGAGCCCTCCTTTGCCATGCTGGTGCTCTCCATGCCCATAGGGAATGTGCAGACATGCTTTCTTCAAATCCATTGAGATGCTTGGAGCTGTTTTCACCTGTACGGAATGTGAGGCAGATCACAGCACTTAGACCTCTCTTCTTCCAGGGAACCTAGTTGACCTTGGTCTAGAAGAAAGGAAGTCTTTCCTAGTTACACTCAACTGATGCATCCATCCCCTGTTGTCACTGCCCAATGCCCTGTGGAAGAGGTTTCAAGTCGTGGGAGAATGAATGTTTTCCTTACTAGTTGCTCTGCTTCTCTGGGTGTCTCTTGCATGCTGTCTTCTAAATAGCTGTTAGGAGGTTCTAATGAAGCAACTGTCTGGAGACCAATGTTTATTTCAACATGGTTGCAGTTGCTTTTGCTTCAGCCTTCAGAGCCAATAAAGCTGGTTATTAGATTCTGTAATTGCTGCTGTAATTACTCTCTTGGAACTGGCAAAGGCATAATTAAATATGTAGATTTCACAGACTTTTTCTCATCTAAAAACAACCTCGTAAACTTCTGTTAGTAGGGTTAAATTTCTGCTGTTAAAGCCAGTGTGTTTACAAATGACACTAGGTTTTGTGGCTGAAGATGAATTTCTTTGGATACTTCCTCTTTGAAGATTTGGCTTTGATGAGCAGTTGTTCTTAGCCTGGAAACTATTTCTTTAATACAACCACCCAGAATTTGGGAAGGTTGGCAAGTCCTTACGAGCCAGTTTGCATTTATGTATGTAAATACTGGGTTTGGGCTCTGTGGACTTTGACTACTTAGGAAAACAAGTCTGGTTGGAAATCTGGTTAGAGCTGGGTGTGGTGGCTCATATAATTCTAGCACCTGGGATTGCTGAGAGTTCGGGGCCAACCTGGACTACAGTGAATTCCAAGCCAGCCTGAACTATAGGATAAGGCCTTGTCTCAAACTCTCCTCCTCATCTCAGTGGAAGAAGGGAGTTTGACTTGGACAGTGTTCAGAAGGAAGCTTGTCACTTGACCCCTGGGAGCACCTGCTTCCCTTAAGTTATCCTCCACTGCAGTGCCTCACATTTACAAGGTGTAGGCAGTGCTGTGATGCTTGTTTTCACACGAGTTCTTGTGGACCAGATGCTCACCAAATGGCACTTTTCAGGGTTACACGGTTTTGTTTTGGTGGGGTTTGTTTTTTTCTTTTCTTTTTTTTTTTAGTTTTTGTTAGCTTGTTTTGGCTTGGTGTTTTGCTTGTTTGTTTGTTTTTGTTTTTTCGAGACAGGGTTTCTCTGTAGGTTGGACCCTGTCCTGGAACTCACACTGTACTTAGTGTGAGTGGCCTTGAACTCAGAGATCCACTTGTCTCTGCCTCCCAAGTGCTGGGATTAAAGGCACTTAATGGCCTGGCAGGGTTACTGTTCTTGTGAAATATATTTTAGGGATTTCTTAGAATGTGCCCTTTCTCTTTAGAGATGTCAGGTAGTTGAAAAATACAGCTTACATGTGAGGTAGGAGGAAAAAAAAATCCATAGTCCCTGCCAGTCACCAGCCTGGGGAATCCACTGCTTTCTGGGATGAACTTTATAAGCCCACAGCAGGAGGGTGACCCTGGAGACCAGGGTATTTTCTGGGAACCTTCCCCTAGCCTTGCATGCTTACCTTCAGTGAGGAGCTTGCAAAAGATGCTATTGTATGAACCAAGAAAAAGGCAGAGAGACTTCTACATAGGACATTTTGTAAATGAACAGTGCCATTAAATAAAAAAATGCAGCACACCTTTCATAGCTACCTTAAGTGCTAGGATGGGAATATTTGTATATGAAAACACATGGAGTTAAAGATTCACCTTGGCATATATTAACTAATTGCATACCAGTTGATGTGTTGGATAGTGTTAGTCTGCAAAGATAGCTAGTAGTCATTCGTTCACTGGAGCTTGCTTCCTTACTTCCCTGTGTATTGGCATTTGCTTCCAAGTCATTTATTTTTGGTGTGTGTGTGTGTGTGTGTGTGTGTGTGTGTGTGTCTGTCTGTCTGTCTGTCTGTCTGTCTGTCTGTCCATATGTCCCTGTGCCCATCTGTCTTTCCATCCCTTGGGACTAGGGATTAAACAGGTGCTCAGCAGCCATGGAGCTCCATTCCTGACTCTTGTAGACAGGTTCTGTTCTCAGTTGAGCCCTGGGTGGTGGGAGGAGGGGAATCTGAGAAAGCAACACCTGTGACATGTAGGGCCTTGCCTGAGAAGACATGAATGAAGGCTTGAAGTCACTGTATAATTGGGATGAGGGTGTTAAGTTTCTGTCACAAGTGAAATAGCCCAAGACCTAGATAAGGGTCTCTCCCAGAATAACTTGCTTGCTGCCATGGTTGTTGATGGTGACTGACTGTTCCATCCAGGTGCTAGAGTTCCAAAGGACCAGGCTTAAGGAGGAAATCCGTCTCTTGCCTCTGTGGGACCCTGAGAGTAAGAGGCCATAGTGTGGGCCTATGAAAAGTTTTTAAGAAAAGTGGTTGGATTTGTTCTCTTTGGCCACTTCTTGCTGGGGTAGGTGACTCCCTCCAGGCAAGAGCTTGCTGTCTTTACTAAGTGTGAGGCCTAACAGAATGGACAGCATTGGTTGTGGGTTCCACACCTGGTTTAAGTCCCTCTGGGAATTACTGCCTGGAGATCCTGGAGAACTGCTGTGTATCTCTCGTCCTCATCTGCTGAAACCTTGCAAGGGTGCAGCGTCTGCCCTTTGGGTCTAAGTCAGAGCAGAGCCTGTGGCTTTTCAAACTTTAATGAGGGACAGTAGTGCATTGTTCTTTTCATCTATTTCAGGTTCTCCAATTCCAGTGGTTCTCAACCTTCCTAATGCTGTGACCCTTTAATACAGTTCCTCATGTTGTGACCCCAACCATAAAGTTATTTTCACTGCTACTTCATAGCTGTAATCTTACTACTGTTATGAATTGTAAAGTAAATATCTGATCAGAGACCCTCAATAGGGGTCGTGACCCACAGGTTGGGAACCTTTATCCTCTTCCTCTGACTGGGAGAGTTGGATTTTCTGCAATGCTAGCGGTTGAACCCAGGATTGAACTATTATACTCTCAGTCCTAATCAATTTAAATGTTCTCTTTCAAAGATCTAATTATGCTGGTTATGATGGCACACACCTTTAATCTCAGCACTTGGGAAGCCGAGAGGCCAGCCTGGTCTACAAAGGAAGTTCCAGGACAGCCAGGGCAACACAGAGAAATGTCTCGGGAAGCCAAAAGACCTAATTATTTTGAGGCTAAATCATTGTTCTTGGCAAGTGGTTCTTAGAACAGATGCCTATGCTAATAGTCAGGTGTCTTCAGCTTCTAGACATTGGGCACAATGCTGTCATCTACAGAGTTCTCAATGGAGAAGTATACAGATGAGTTACAAAAAGAAAATAATTTTATAGTGTTATAAGTAACTTCACAGTTTTAGGTTGGGTGTTCATAGCTGTCCTGTGAAGCATGTGTCTTGCAGGTTGAAGGGTACAAGTGTGACATACAGAGAAACCACCTCTGTGGAGGAGGTGAGTGTGACCCGCAGCCTGTGCGGACGGCCCCGGGGCACACCTCCTGGATGAGGAAGTGTGTGTGCATGAGTGCATGTGTGTGCAACTTCCCTGGCCCAGTCCAGTCCAGTCCAGCTGTTCCTCCTGCCTAAGCCTGCTGGGCGTCCTTTCTGAGATTGTAAAGGAGAGGAGCCTGCATTTGAGCGGGGAACTGTAGTTTGGTCCTAGCTTTGCCAGATTGATTTTACTGAAATGCTTGCCTTGACTTGATCTCAGACAAAATGATCTCTCTCTCTCTCCTCAGGCTGAAGAGCAAATGCCATTGATTTGACCAAATGGTTAAACTCCAGATTTGTTCATGGCAGGAGCCCTGTCTTCAATTGTTTGTGTTTTCTGTTATAGAGAATGCTGCACTAGCCGTCATTAGGCATAAGGCTTTCTGGTTTTGTTCAGTTAATTTACAGACAGAAATTACCGGCTCAGAGAGCGAGGAAACATCTTTATACTATACTTCATTCCCACTGTACTTTCAGAACCATCACAATTTGCAGAACTGTTGGCTTTTTGTGACATAGCGTTTTAACCAAACTGCTCTAGTTCTTGTTATAGTCATTTGTTATTTTTGTCATTTAGTTGGTGTGAAATGGTACTGCAATGGTGCTTTATAATAATTAGAGCCAGCAGGGTTTTTTCTGGTGTGCTAATTTGTTAGGCTGCTCTGTTTGTTAGCCCATTTCCTCCTCACAGTGAACCTAGCAGGGAAGCTAAGCCACTCACCTCTGTCTGTGAGCTACAGTTTGACCGCAGAATGCATTCTTCCCCTGGGAGCCTGTCCATACTTTGATTTTTGCAACAGATGTGGTTGCCAGAGAATTTAAACTGTGTTTGCGTGCCCTGTCTGCATCATGAGGTGTGTGAACTTGCGTTTTCTTAGAAACCTGAGTGTGCTTCTAGGAGAAGGTGTTATTAGCTCTCTTACAAAGGAGGCAACAGCTGAGGTGCATGCGGTACATTTGGGAGAAGGGCTCAGTGTCCTCTCACCACACGCCATGCCAGACATGCTCAAGTCTTGTTTCCTCGCTCTAGCGGCCCTGCAGGCTCTGAAGCGCAAGAAGAGGTATGAGAAGCAGCTGGCACAGATCGATGGCACCCTGTCAACCATCGAGTTCCAGCGGGAGGCCTTGGAGAATGCCAACACCAACACAGAGGTGCTCAAGAACATGGGCTATGCCGCCAAGGCCATGAAGGCTGCCCACGACAACATGTGAGGCCACTGCTGGGGAGGGGACGTCTGGAGGGAGGATGTGCTGAGGCCATGGCCTTATCGTCGTTGGCTCCCTCTTTGTAGCTTCTGAGGGAACTGTGTCCTGCTGTCTTTGTTTCCACAAGAGCTCAGGAGTGGAAAGAGAGATTGTTTTCCCTAGTTCTAGATTATTGTGACAGGCTTAGTTCCAAGTTGGATGGTCCTGAGAAGGTCCTCTCAGTCACCTCTGTTCATCCAACTGTCCCAGAGATGGAAGCTGCCTGTGCTGAACGGGATGGGGTTGGGCCCTAGCATGTGTGCTGTCTCCCAGGGCTCTGAGTCTGTTCTTACACCGCTTTGGGGACCTTTTTGTCTCGGCTGCTTCTGTTCTCAGCAGCCTTTTCTGTGGATGGTTTCATGCCGATGGCCTGAGAACTGCATGCTCGGCTGGGTTCCGGCTGTAGAGGACAAGGGTACTTATTTTAGTTCTTTTACACTCCAGCTGGCCCTGAGGGGTACTTGGAGCATTTGCTGCTTTGGCTACTCAGCCATGCTCTAGCTCAGGTATTGGCAGAATGCTGCCTATGGCCTGTGATGTATAGCAGCCATGTCCTTCATTTGCATACTGTCTGGACCTGCTCTGTTGATTGTCTAACAGTCTCTATAAAGAACATTAAACTATTAGTGGGCTGGGGAAATTTTCTGCTCTTTGCTCTAGAGACAAGAGGTGTGGAAACATACACCTCTCGCATACATGAGGTGTGGGAGTGTGTTGTCAGGCGAAGGCCGAATCCCTTAATTTCAGTTTCCCCAGACAGTTAGCACAACTGTGTATGTGTAAGTGGTGTGTATGTTTTGAAGTATACAGATCATCTTGAATAACTGTGTGACACATAGTGTATAAAACACAGGCATTTGCCTTTCCTTTGGGACCTTATAGGTGTTTAAATAGGGAAGGGCCTGGCCCTGTTTTGTGGTTTGTGATTTTTAGCTCCTCCTGTTTAGAGTTGCTTTGGGGCTTGAAGAAGAGGTCTTGGCACTGGAGTTAAAGTCCTGTGGTCTCAAATCTGTTTAAGATCTGGAGTAGAGGTGGAGCGTCCTTGACTCCACCTGGTGCTAAGCTTTCCTTCAGTGCTGAACTAAATGATGTCTGAGGACTTCCATCTGCTTGATTCTGTTTTACATTTGAGTGTGTGTGCCCATGCCTGTGTGATGTGGGGGTCAGAGGGCAACTTTGGGGAGTCATTTCTTCGCTTCCACCTTTATGTGGGTTCTGGGGCAAGTACTCTGCTCACCAGGCTTGCACAAGCAGCGCATAACTGGCTGAGCTTCTCACCAGCTCATGATGCCCAGTTCTGAAGGGAAGGAGGACGGCAATAGCAACAGGCAGTTTCCTAAAGGAGAGTTCCTGGGTGCTGAGAAGCAGGTGGTGTGTGCCGGGCTTCTGTGCCAGGCTCTGACCAGTCTTAGCTAATGTGATAACCTGTTCATTTCATTTCAAGGGACATTGATAAAGTGGATGAGTTGATGCAGGACATTGCTGACCAGCAAGAACTTGCAGAGGAGATTTCCACAGCTATCTCCAAACCTGTAGGCTTTGGGGAAGAATTTGATGAGGTGAGTGGTTTCTTGAAGATCACACGAGTCTCTCGAGTGACAGACCTCAGGCTCAGATGTCAACATAGTGTGTCAACTCCAGATGTCAACAGGCATAGTGTGCACCTCCTTGGATTCTGGATTTTTTTTTTAATTTTTAATATGTATTTTGTGCTTGGCATAGTGGCATGCACTTTTAATCCCAATACTCAAAAGGCAGAAGCTAACCTGGTCTACATGGAGAGTTCCAGGACAGCCAGAGTGGCAGTGAGACCCAGTCTCAAAAAAGAAGAAGAAGAAAGCATCATTTTGATTTTATACTTGAGGGTATTTTGCCTGCCCACGTGTATCTGTGCACCACTTGCGTGCCTTGTTCCCCTGGAGGCCAGAAGAGGGTGTGAGCACCCACTTGGTAGCTAGCAACTATCAGTAATTCCAAGTCCTAGGAGATCTGATGCCTTCTCTTCAGGGTACTACATGCATATGGTGCACAGACAGAAATGTAGGCAAAACACCCGTATACCTAATATAAAATCTCAGAACAACAACAACAAAAAGAATGGTGCTGGGTTGACGGTGCAGGCTTGTAACCTAGCAACTCAGGTGTTTGGGGGCAGGAGAACAAGAAGCCTGGACCACAGGAGGTGTAAGGCTGGCTTGGGCAACTGCCAGAACCCATCTCAAAACTGTTTTTTTGTTTGTTTTTTTGAGACAGGGTTTCTCTGTATTGTTTTGGAGGTTGTCCTGAAACTTGCTCTGTAGACCAGGCTGACCTCAAACTCACAGAGATCCACCTGCCTCTGCCTCCCTAGTGCTGGAATTAAAGGCGTGCACCAGCAACACCCAGCCCATCTCAAAACTTTAAAAAGGAAAGAAAGAGTCTGGATATGTAGCTCAGTGGTAGAGCACTTGCCTAGCATATGCATGGTCCTGGGTCAGTATTTCCTGCTGCAAAGGCATGAAAAGATACAGTCCTTCCACCCAAGAAGCTCATAGGAAGGACCCCAGATGCATACATACATATGCCAGTGGCCTCCTCAGAAGGTTCACTCAGCATCAAAAGGAGGAATGGCTGCAGGGAGGGTTTCACCACACTTCCTCTTGCAGGATGAGCTCTTGGCAGAGTTGGAGGAACTCGAACAGGAGGAGCTAGACAAGAATTTGCTGGACATCAGTGGGCCTGAAACTGTTCCACTACCAAATGTTCCCTCTGTAGCACTACCATCCAAACCTGGTGAGTATTCCCACAGTTGGGACACACCTTGGCACCATGAGAAGGGGGTGATCTCATGGTCAGTGGACTTTGGTTTGGGTTTTGAGCCAAAGAGGATGTGTTGTGATGACCACGATGCCAGTGTCATTTGCAGAACAGATTTCCTAACGTCAGCACTGCTGACATGGCCAGATAATTCTGGGGCTTGCAGTGGGGCTGTCTTATAGGATAGCCCTGACTTCTCTCCACCAGATGAGCAGCTACTGCCTACAGTATCTTCAGGCATTGCTACTGTGGGGTTGGGAGTGGGGATTAAGAGCCTCTGTTCTAGAATAATTTTTCTTATTCCCTAATAAGGGAAAGTTCTAGGCACTGTGCAGAGGTGTGAGAATTTAAGTCTTGCTCCGTCTCTGTGCTTTCTGGAAGGAACCAGTTCTGGCTGGTTTGGAGACCTGCTTTGTAAAACCATCATTTCCTTGCCTGCATTTTCTCCCTCTTTTCCTCCCATGCTCCACACAGAGTTCCTAGAAAGACAAAACTGCCCATCTGGAGTAGAGACAAGGGACTGCCATCAGGGTGTGGACAGGGTGTGACCCTGTCCCTCTGCCATGGTAAAGTCAGTGGCTAACAGAGGCAGCCTAGCAAAGCGTGACTCCAGTGACTCCAAATGGAGTTGACTTGGCAAGGATTGCATCTCTTGGGAGGGATGATCTTGCTTCTCCCCCAACCCTGGGTGCTTTAGGAGTGAGGGACCCTCAGTGTAAAACAGGCCCTCCTGGTGTGGCTGCCCCTGCTGAGGACTGAGGGGAGCTTCTGTGGAAGGTGTGTCTGGTTTCCTGAATTTGGGTGGCAGCTTGTGGGCCCAAAGAGCAGTATGCTGTGGGCGAGCACAGCCCCAGCTCCCAGGCAGCCTTCAAAAATCACCTTTTCTATCCCCACACAGTCAAGAAGAAGGAAGAGGAAGATGATGACATGAAGGAATTGGAGAACTGGGCCGGATCCATGTAACTGGTCCAGAATAGGCTGGGCCCAGACAGACTCTGGTGGCCTGTGTGACGGGCAGGCATGTGCGTGCGCAGGGCAGGCAGGACGTGGTGCAGGCAGCCTCCATCACTCAACTCTCACCCAAAGCAGTAGGCCGCATCACTGCTCACTCTCGCATAGCATGGTCTGTGCCCAGGGGCGGGCGGGGGGGGAGGGGTGGGCGGGAGGGAGGTGCCTGCTGTTTATAATGTTGAATTTCTGTAAAATAAACTGTATTTGCAAATCCAACATTGAGCTTCTGGACTACGCTAACTCCACTGCTGAATCCTCCACGGAAAGGGTCGGCCACTTGCAGTTGAAACGATCTGGAAATGTAACCCGTGTCCTTTAAGAGATGTGCTGACTTGTCGCACATCTCTGTAAGACGTGTATGGTACTGGCAGAAAAGTTGTTTTCTAAAAGCCATAGTAGGCTTTTCCTCGTCCTTAGCTGTAATAGCACATCTGATTTTGGTTTCCTCAAGAGCTGTGTCTGTCTGTCACCTGTGTACTGGCCCCCCGTGTTTACTACCCTGGCCCTTGTCACTCCTGCTCCCCTGGTCTTTGGAGTTGTGACACCGATCTGAAATGGATGTATTCTCTTGAGAGCAAATAAGATTGTTAGAATTAAATTCCAGCTATCCAGTTTTCTAACATAGCTCTAAGTCCTCATTGCTGTGTGTGATAATTGATAGATAACTCATTGGAAACATGTGCATACATTTATATTCAGATGAAATTATGGTTTGCACTGTCTATTAAATATCTCGATTTAATTTTCACACTTGCTGTTGTGTTCAGTCAATCTCTCCCCTTCCTTGGGAACCAACCCTTTCCCATCCAGTTCTGGTCCGGGGTCACCAGGGAAGCATGAAGGGTTTTCAAAGAGCAGCTTCCTTCTTCCTGCAAACCTCCAGCTTCTGGAGGCCACTGGGCTGTGACCACTACTCAGCCTGGGGACCTCTGGGTCCACTCTCAGTAAGTCGATTCTTGTGCAGCCCCAGAATCTTCAATCCTTGCCTGCTGGCACCTAGGCTCCTCTGGGAGCCTCTGCCTGGTGGAAACCATGTTGCTACCATGAGACAAGGTCCAGCCAGGCAGCGTGTTTCCATAGTAGGGAAGTGTATTGGGTAGGGACTGAGGACTGAGGGTACAGATGCTCCTTTGGGGTCTGCTGAGTCTATAAGCCTTTGGCCCAACCCTTCCATGCCACACTTTTCTTTATTTTTGTACCCTCTTTAGAAACCGAAGGATGCTTTGGACCCTCTCATCCAGCCAAGTAGATCTCCATGTATGTTTGTCCCTCCTGCATGTCATCTCAGGATTGAGAAGTTACCCGCATTCCCCTAGCTTCTTAAGAATAAAAGCAATGTGAGTTCACAGTGGGATATTGTCATGCTCACAGTGTCCCCAGAGCAAGCTGCCTATGTTCCTGTCTTTAACACTGTTCTGTTTGCTGTGAAGAGACACATGGCAACTTTTAAACATTTGGCAGGGGGCTTGCTTACAGTTTCATAGTGCGAGTCCATGACCATCATGACAGGAATGTGGCAGCAGGCAGGCACTGTGCTGGAGCAGTAGCTGAGAGCTTACATCTTTATCCACAAAAAGCAGAGAGAGACTGAGCATGGCATATGCTTTTGAAACCTCAGAGCCCACCCCCCAGTGACACACCTCCTCCAAGGCCACACCTCCTAGTCTTTCCCCAAACAGTTCCACCAACTAGGGACCAAGCATTCAAACATGAGTTGACGGGGGCCACTCTCATTCAAACCCCACGGCTCCCTAGGTCTCACGTTCTGCTTTGCTTGTGTGAAGCTGTTCATGCCCTGCTCCGTACCAACCATGGCAGCCACACCCAGAATTGGGACTTGATGATGGGGCTGAAAATTCCTGACTTGGAGAAATGGGGCTTGGCTGATGTCACAAGTTCTGTACACCTCATGAAGAATTTAGTGGTAGCACTCACCAGAGTCCTTCTGTTTGCTTCTAGGCATCCTTTGGTGTGATATTGCCAGAGTAGCCTGTCTTGAGTCTTACCCACTGCCTTGGACTCTCTCCCTAGGACTGAGTGAGTAGAGTTGCCAGATCCCCCTCAACTCTGACAGGCAGAGAGATCAATTCAGGGCAGTGACACACACCTTGTGCCTGGGTCTGTGGGGCGCAGGCATCACCAGTGCCAGACCCTTTTCTGTCCTTAGGAAGGTCTTAGACCTTGTGAGACATAATCATGGGGGATTCTTTGAATACAAGCAACAGAAGACTCAGCCAACACACAGACATGACACTCACTTATTCTAAATTTATTCAAGTATTTTTTGATCACCTACTATGTGCAGGCTGGTCTTAGGATAGTAAGTCTCAGTGGCAGTGTTGTGGTTCTGGGTTTGAAGCAGTATTCAACTACCTTTTTTTTTTTTAAACTTTTTTTTCCAACCACCTTCTTAAGAACAAAGCTCTTGCTGGTGTGATGGTACGCAACAAATTCCAGCACCAACGAGGCTGAAGTTGGAAGGAACACAATTCAAGACTAACTTGTATGTAGTAGTGAGACTGTCTCAAAATACAACCAGCCAGGTGTGGTATACTCAAGAGACAGAGGCAGGAGGATCTCTATGAGTTCAAGGCCAGCCTAATCTATATAGGTAGTTCCAGGACAGCCAGGGCTATCTAAAAACAACAGGAGCTAGGGAGATGGCTCAGGGGTTAAGAGCACTACCTGCTCTTCCAGAGGACCCAGGTTTGATCCCCACACCCACAGGGCATGAGCAAGGTCTATGGCTGCCCCGCTTCTGAGTGATGGCAGAGTCAACAGACCTGCAGTAGATATGAAATGAATTATAGATGAGGAAACTGGTGTTTCAAGCCTCAGCCAGCACTAAGACAGCTCAGCACCCTTCTGCCCATCCAGGCTTCCTTCAATATGTCTTATGTATCCATCTAGCAAAAACAGCTTCCTTCCTTCCTCCCTCCCTCCTCCTGCCTTCCCTCCCTCCCTCCCTCCCTCCCTCCCTCCCTCCCTCCCTCCCTCCCTCCCTCCCTCCCTCCCTCCCTCCCTCCCTCCCTCCCTCCCTCCCGCCCTCCCGCCCTTCTTCCTTCCTGGCCTTGTTGGTCCCTTTCTCAACAGAAGTGTGTTCTCTGGTTCGGAGCACCACAGGTCAGAACGCTTTGGTTTTCAGTAGGAAGAGCAGCTTCACAGGGACATCAAATTCAGAAAACATAGAGCCATCATTTCATTCAACCTCCACAGACCATCTCAAAACTGTGTGCCTGTTTTACAGCTCAGCAAGCCCAGGCACAATAGGGTTAAGGAGCTTTGCCTAAGGTCATAGTGCATTTCCTGTCACCACAGTGAGGCAGGAGCAGGTTCTCAGAGGCGTGTTCCTGTTTCAGAAAGTGACCAAATGCTGGGCTCTAAAGTCCCAGAAATGAGGACTGCTTCTCTCATGTCTGCTTCCTGCTGGAGCCAAAAAGGTTATAAACAACAGAAGCCAGAATCTTCTGGAGAGACACGAAATGGAGCAGTGGGATCAGAGCCAGTCAATAGTTGGGCTCCTTCCATAATGACTGATAAGATGGGGGCCTTAACACTGGCCCCTCTTCCCCCCCAGACACTAGTCTGTCTTTCTTCCTCTCCCTCTTTAACTTGGATGGCTCTCTGGGGACACTTGGTTCCTTCACAGAAAGAGTGGACAAAGCCAGCAAGGTATATAATGACTCTGGTTTGCTTCTCTATTGCTGCACAAAAGGCCACCCTGAAGAGTGTGTGTGTGTGTGTGTGTACGCACACATATGTAAGTCATAGTTGCCATGGTTCATGATTCATGTATGGAGGTCAGGAAAACCTTGTGTGTTGATCATTGCCTTCCATGTTGTTTGAGTCCTGGTTGCATGCACCAGGCTCGCTGACCCATGAACTTCTGGGGATTCTCCTATCTCAACTTCCAATCTCGGTGTAGCAGCACTGGGTGCATTACCATGCCTACCTTTTTTTTTTTTTTTTTTTTTTTTTTTTTTTTGGTTTTTCGAGACAGGGTTTCTATGTAGCTTTGGAGGCTGTCCTGGAACTCGCTTGGCAGACCAGGCTGGCCTCGAACTCACAGTGATCCGCCTGCCTCTGCCTCCCGAGTGCTGGGATTAAAGGCGTGCGCCACCAATGCCCGGCTACCATGCCTACCTTTAAAAAAAAGATTTTATTTATTTATTATGTATATAGTGTTCTACTTGTGCATTTGCCTGCACATCAGAGAGAAGAGGCCACCAGATTTCATTACAGATAGTTGTGAGCCACCATGTGGTTGTTGGGAATTGAACTCATGACCTCTGGAAGAGCAGCCAGTACTCTTAACCTCTAAGCCATCTTTCCAGGCCCCCATGTCTACCTTTTTATGTGGGTTCTGGGGGTCCAAATCCAGGTTTTTAGGCTCATGTGTCAAGCACCTTACCCACCAAACCTGAAACTGAGTCGTGAAAAGCAGACATTGTTATACTCAGTGTGTGGGCCAGCGTGCAGCAGGTCCAGGTGGATGCAATCTGATTCACAGTAGCCAGGACCTCCCTTGGGAAGCTGCTAGCCAAGGATGCTCTTAGCAGAAGCTGCAGCTCCTTCAGTCTCAGGCTGAGTTTAGCCCATGCCTGTAGCTAGCTGGGGACTTCGTGGGGCTTGGCGGGAGCACAGAGCTCTGAGTGACTGTCCCTGCTGGCAGAGTGAGCAGCACATTGTGACCCAGTCTTGGACGTCACACAGAAGCACTGACTTGTAAACTCAGGTTCAGGAGTTAAGGATTAGACACCATCTTTGACAGGGACATGGCTAATTCTACAGGAGCACGGAAGGCAGGAAATGACACTGGGCTGTTTTTTCAGAAACAGTCTATGGCAGCTTACTGATGTGTGTGTGTGTGTGTGTGTGTGTGTGTGTGTGTGTGTGTGTTCCTGAGCTCTAGAACCCATGTATTCTACCACTGAGCTACATATCTAGCTTTTTACATGGTATTCAGTAAGTTGCAAGTATGAATTAATCCATCTGGTCTCTGAACCTGTATCAAAAGGTTATTTTTTAAATCTACCATATTCTGTATTTATAAATTGTATATACACTGCTGCGCTAGATTGTATGTACATATAACTGCCTGCAGTTTTTAAAGGCAGACACATAAGAAATA